GTTGGCACACCAAAAGAGCCGTCTCGACTGCAGACGTCACTTGTTTGCAGTCAGAGTGTGTAGCACATGGAACTCTCTACCATCTCACGTGGTCTGTGTCCCAACATTAGTATCTTTCAAGCGTCAGCTTGGTGATGCCCTGGCAAACGTTACGTTTCAACACCCAACTACATAACATATTTTCCTGTGCTCGTCAAAACACTACTCTACTATTTACTTTCATGGACTAACTGTGATATTGTGAATCGTGATCCGAACCAATGTGTAAACACTCTATGGGATTTGTAAAAGTGAAGTCTTTGTAAGTTATATCCCATAATAAAAATTTGAATTTGACCAATGGTGGCACAGTCATCTTGGCAGGAGGTATGCGAGTATGTGCAGTCTGCCATCCGGCCCGTCGGCGTTTTTTGATTAAATGGCTTTTATGACTCTCACCAAGCAAATAATCAGTGGGTAGCACAGAATACACAGTTTTTAGTCGTAGCATGTCCTGGCAAGAATATTTGTAGATCCTGGTCATGATTAGCACCGTAGTATGGATGAGTTAAACGATAAATTCCAACGTGACGAACAAGCACGAGAGTGTAGCGCAGCCAATCGAAGGGCGCTTGTACGCCGTAACGTAAAGGGTGATTTTCTTGCCTTTGTGAAATTTATTGAAGTCATGAAGAGACCAAGATCACGGTAAGTGGTGACTCCAAGTTATTTGGTGGAACAGTTTCTGGAAACTTATTCTCCGGTGATAACGACGCACTGACAAGAGTTCAATGCATCAATGTAATTGTCACCTATAAGTAAATAAAATAAGGTACTTGTGCACCTGAAGGGATTCTTATTGAGGTTGTAATGAGATGACCAGTCGTTTAGCATTGAAACATTATACACGAGTTTGGAATATGTGGAGGAATCTGGAAAATTCATGTGCGTATTTGATGAGCACACAAACACAAAACAAGCATAGGAGAAATATGGATAGAGAACAAGGAGACAGAATAGCACCTTGAAGAACTCTTTGAGTAGAAAGAAAGAGTTGCGACCCTTGATGGCCTTCGCGAGCCCTCTCTCACAAAAAGGTGCTTTTTGGTTTTAGAAGCTCTTTAATGTTTTTGGTATCATTGTTCAGGTGTTGGAGATAAAAAACAATCTGATCGCACACATATAGTTTACCACAGGTAGCACATATGGCATAGTTCCAGGTATTCAGCCAAGGTATCAGAGACGGAGTGAAATCTGTCTGACATAATATACCTTCGAGTCTGGCAAGGTTTTCTGATGAGCATTGAGGCCCACGAAGCAGATGGTGACCCTTCCGAGTAAATAGTGGGTGGTTAGATCTAATATATTTCATGGGAAATAATTTAAATATCCCGTTGTCAGAATGCCCAGTAGGGGGATGACAGCACACGTTAAGCAACAAAACACAGGCCGAGACAAGCCTATATACGGTTAGCGAAGGTAAAAACGCTCTGCAGCGCAACGGTAGTCAAGACAGTCAGATCAAACCTATTGAGGTCACAATGTAAAGGTATTTTGGACGAGATCAAAAATTTCATGCAATGCCGTATGTCAATAATAGCACTTCGATGAATCTCTTTGAATCATGCACATGATTGAAACAAGGAATAACTAAATCCACTCGGATCAGTCCTTTCGATTAATCCAATCTCATGCTTCCTACACAGGTATTCATGCAATGTTTCTGTCTTTTAATCGGTTTACACTTGTATGTGATCTAGCTTTTTTGTGTTTTTGGTGCAGGCTGTGCTGTCAGTGTTTATGAGTTAGTTGTTAGTTTCCCTTCACTTGGTGCAATATAAAGTGTGACGCGTCCAGTTAGTTGCGTTGTGCTTCCGGCTCTACGAAGCGCTATGTGTTGACCGGAAGGTTTTATCATGTTCTTGATAAAAATGTCTCCCAGGAAGATAGACGGCCAGCCATTATCTAACACCTGATTATAACATTTCATTCCGGTGCTTCTGAGTGCCACTTCAAATAGTAGTTTAAGATCATGGTGGCAAGAGGAGTTCAACCATAGATCGTCATTTTCAGTTTGTGGAATGATCGTGTTTGTGTATAACTTTTGCTGGACATTGAATCCTTGTTTACATGACTGAAAAACGGGAATAGAACAAAAGAATTACAAAAATAAATACAAAAACAGACGATTGGACTATAACGCTCGCTTCGACAACGCTCTGTGATAGTCTTTTCCAATCCAAACAAGGCTACTTTGAGTGTACCATCTACATTTTCGTCTCATTCCTTACTCATGTTTTTGTCGCCGTGTTTGATTTCGCTCAAAATACCGTGCCACTTTCTGCTTTTGTTCAATCACATATCTCGGTGTAATTGGGTGTGTCGAGCAATATAATTTTACACGGTTACGGCCGGGTTGTTGATTGTTTGCCTTACCTCTAGTTTGCAATTTGCCCTGTCATCCCTAACGGATTGCTTGCAGCGTGGTGAGTACGCCTTACGAAAGAACCCGTTGGACATCCCAGTCGCGGCGCTTGATAGCTCTACTCGGGAGCAAGCTCCTCTACTTTTGCCGCAATCACACGCGTGGTGGAGTGTACCGGTGGATGTGCGTGAACCGCGGTACTTGATTGTTGACCCAGATAAGGGTCCCAATAGTACGCTGGTAGGAACCTGGTCCAAAAACGAGTTGATTGAAACATTCGCCAGGGAATTTGCCAGGTAGGTCGTCAAGTCGTGCTAGCAGGTGACAGAGTCTGTTTAGGCAAAATGTGCGATTTGTATATTGGTGACATTAACGAGTCTTGTTTCTTTTTTGAAGCTCGATCAGAGCAGCGAATGATCCACTCCGTGCATTTTCAAAATCGTTTGGTTTATTAATACTGAGTTAAATGCTAACTGAAAAATCATTTACATTTGAGAAATCCTAAATGCAATGCTTACCAATCTGTTTGTTTACATGAGATTGTATGTCCAGCTTGTAGTTATTTCGCTTTGGGGAGTTCAGATTAGTTCAGTTTTCACAACCGTGCACTTCCCTATCGTACTGGTGTTTATTGTCGTCTGGTCTATCAAGAAATACAAGATTAACGGTTAACGAAAACTGGCGGTAGGACCAGGATAACGATACCTGCTTTCCGTAACTTGAATGTACCTTCAAAGTGAGTAGATACACAAGCTCCACCTTTACCTGTAATCCGGTGACTCTAACCCTTGGTAAGATTGGTTTCAAGGCCCCAACTGGGAGGTCTAATGCGACTTAGTTTACCAAACTCTTTGGTAAAGATTTTCATATCCTTTTATTCATTCTTCTTCTCGTGGATGCGTATCGTAACAAACATAGCGCATCTTGGAAGCGCAGTCGGTGACATGCATGACACGTGCCTCAACCACCTCATTTGATGTGGGCTGGTGCACCTCTGACCACAACTATCTAAACTGGAAATTGCTTTCCCGGTTATTCTACCAGAACTATGTATTGTGGCATAGACAGCGGTATTTAGACGCTGTTAGTTTTCGTTTATTTTTCATCTGTAACGACTTTCTCCTGGCCATGTATCACCAAGGACAAAACTGCTACAATAATAATTCGACTCTCCACGATCCCCTGTCCGTGATGCCGCCATATATACCTCAAGTCAGCTGAGAATGAAACCTCATCCGAGGTGCGTCGGTCAGGAGAAATGGCTGCCCGTGTAACAAAATTTGCCTGTCTTTTATTCTATCTCCCCAGTTAGAGCCAGCCCGACCTAATACTATAACAATATTTTACAATTTGGAACTGTGGAAGTGTGATTGAAAAGAACATTGAATACATAGAAAGTTTTAAAATATAATGATGGATGTTTGACAGTATTTCGCATTCATCTTATGAAAGCTGTGGGAGCGCGACTTTATTAGATTAGATGGTTTGTCAAGTTTTCTACTTTCAGTCCAAGTTCGACTCATTTGCTTGGTTTCAACCAGTCTGCACTCATCGTGATTTTCGAGAAAACACCTGATGTTCTGCCGAACGTTTGACGGTATTGACACCATTTGCTATTCACGAAATGGTGTTTGTCATGAACAGCCAATGTGCTCCTCATGTAGGACCATTGTATAGCTTCACCGGTTAGCGAGTTGGCTTACTGATCCCACTTTCTCGGGTTCGAGTTTCATTTATTCAATCCGAGGTTTATACACTTAACGAGGCTTTAACGCTGTGTAAGGCTTTTGAGCGAACTATGCATTTTGTAGGATAAATTCATCTCTCCCTAACTGTTTCTAATACTACATTCCCTGTTAAGTTAGTTTAATACAGGAAGTGCTTTAGTGGTTTTTATGGGTCGACAACGGGATTGAAATCAACAAGGGAAAATTTAAATACTGAAGTAACACTTTCCTTTTGATCTACTTAACAGAACTCCTGCGTAACAGAACACCGGGCTAAATCCTTCGCCACAAGGTTTTTTTTAAATTCTCATCACCCGTCTTTACAGACGTTCTTAGAGAAAATTAAGTTGATTGGTGGAGTTGTTCTACATTTCAAAATAAATGAAAAAAAAGCAAATTGTGATCGTTGTCTTGATCACCGTACTGAATGGAGCAAAACTGTTCTAAGCACGTACAATTGAGCGATTGTAATCAAAAAATAATAATAATAATAATAAATGGTATGGCGAATGGTTCATGTGAACTTGAACAGACTGGACTTTGTTAGCTACGCAATTTGGCTTATTTTGCGAAAGAGGTCGAAAATACTAGGTTCTCGCCAGCGAAATACTGGTAGTTGAATAAAGTTAGTCCGAGAAAACGAGCGATTCGCTTTATTTTGAGTTTGTCAAAATGGGGTTTGGGCTGATGTCGTTTTTCAGGCACGAGAAAACTGATAGGCTAACATGGAAAGTGCACAGACTGGGCTATAATCGAACTTAGGTGGGGTGAATCGTGAAGTTTTGCTACTGTCGAAAATTGCGAAAAAACTGTCAACCGACTGTCATGGTTTTTAAATGACAGTTTGGACAAATATTCCACGGTAGGTATTGACGGAAAAACATCACATTGGCAGTCAAAAACTATCAAACTGTTCTGGAAAGGTTTAGTATGTATTTATTTTGAAAGAGCAAGAGTACTCATTTGGAGTAATGAAGTTGAGGAAGATCGAGAGAAAAATGTAACTGACAGTCAGATTCGTAATGTTTCCAATCGAGTCATAACCCAGTGCTGAGATGCTTAAGGTATGATGTCTGCAACATACTTTCAAAGATTGGTTATGCCGTATAGTGTTAGGACAAAATGAAATGATCATCTGTACGGTGTTCGAGTGAGTAGTTTGCTTACGTTCTGCCTGTGAGATCCTGGGTTGGATACTCAGCTGGATCGGTGGTTTCTCCCTCCTGATGCAACCCAACTGGGTCGAAACAACTGTGCAATGCTTCCTAGCTTTCCAGTTTACACTTTTTTTGATCTGCACCCAATACACTTTACCGCAAAATTGCTTTGTATTCCGTAGGATTACTACAGTAACTGATCAGCGAAGAATCGTAGCTATTCACGTCAGATCTGATTGGTGCTCATTCATCTGCTCATTTTTCTTGCAACATCAAATTTACTTGGATTTGCTCTCAGCGTTCCAATCTTTATTCTGCTTTTTTTCCAAATGGGCGGTCAAAGACAACAACCAAAACCGGCGCACGAAAGTGCCTGGTTAATGGTTGTGAAAACTCAACTGAGCTGCACTGATTGTTTCTCACGGCTCGCATATACACTCGCAGACGCAGAAACAGGATCTTACACGAACGAAGTTTACTTTCAGCGAGAACTCTTGGTTCTGTTTTTTTATTGTCAATTTGGTAGTTTTTTAGTCAGATTGTTTTTCATAAATTATCTTCCCTGTAAGGCATCTGGTTTTGGATGATCACATCGACCGGTTTGTTTGCGAGTCCTACAACGAACAAGGCTCCACGTTTCAGTGATCTTGAATTACCAAGTTATTTTTCAAAGTTTTGAAAGAAGTAAATTAGCCTCCTCTGAGCGTGAAAATCGAGCAACTTATTTTTAGTACATTCTGTCCTTGAAATCTCCTACTGGCACCCAACTTTCTCATCTGTGTGTGCCCCTGACAACTGACCGTTTTACCTTTCCTGAAGTTTATTTGTAGAAGTTTACTGCTCAGATATAGAATAAAGGGAGATAAATGACTACTGGATGATGTTTGTATAAGGTTTTTGTTCTTCCGATTACCATATCTGATTGAGTGCAATTTTCGATCATACCTGTGATAGACAACAAAGCTTCCGGCAACAGTCTGATCTAATTTTGAACGATGGACTCAGTCAATTTAGATTCCTCTACTTAGAACCACAGGATCACTCTAAAATTTGGCCATAGACATCGAGTGACATGTCTGAATGTCGTCTCCAGGGACGCCCATATATCCACTCACCTTCTAAGCCCATCAAGTTCACTTCCTTCTTAGCCTTTCCTAAGTAACACAAATTTTTGTTCGACGAAGCAATTTTTTCTTCATTAGGTCAAATGGATGTCCTAAAGATAACCGAAGCAAAAAATTATTATACTAACTAAGACTGAAGTTGCGTTCTATTCCTCTGCATATGCTACTTAACTCAACGGTATACAGTTGACAACCTGGTGCTGCGTACAGTCGTCCCCCCCCACTTTTTCTCTCTCAACAATCGTCGCTTGAGAACTGAGGCTGTCCTAGGACACTGGAT